CCAAGTTAATTCTGGTCTTGGTTTTCCCTTAAAAAAAAAAAAGACAAAAAGTGTAGAGGCAGGGAGGGGATCAGATTGTTTCCAATTTTCTTTTTGGCGTTACAAAAATGGGCAGTGGTACCCCTTCTATAAGGTTGGAAAGCAGTCTGATGGGTGGTTACAGCAGCAACGGAATACTCACTATCACCCACTGACTGCATTCTGTACGCAAGGCACTACATTATGTACGTGCTATTTACAATTTCCCTTAATCGTCACATCAAGTATCATTATCTTTTTTTTTTTTTTATAAAGGCATCACATGACTCGCCCAAGGCCTTGCAGCTAAGCACTGGAAGCTGATTTTCCAATCAGGTCTCTTCAGCTCCAAAGCCTGCACAACACAGCCTCGTGGTGAAGAACCTGGGCCCTGGGGCCCTAGAATCTGTATTTGGTTCCTGATTCTAGCACTTATAGCCGTGTGACTTTGGGCAAGTTACTTAAACTCTCTGCCTCAGTTTCCCAATCTGTAAAATGAGAATGATAGTGCAAATCTAACAGGGTGGTTATCAAGACTGATGTTCTTAGAAAGCTTCTGCCCGCTGCATAGGTGTTTTATTAATGTCATCTACATGTTAATGATTATTATTCCACTCTACTGTGTTGCTCGTTTCAGACTTGTCTGTAATCGTCTCTCTGTTCTAACAGCCTTTAAGAGCAGACTTGGAGATATTACAATCTCATTCAAGGACATGAGTTTCCATTTATGTTACAAAGGGACTTCCTAGGATTCCTGAGCACCCAGGCTCAGCCCGCAGACAGGAACTAAGCATTAACTCAGTTGGGTCAGGCACAGCCTTCTTATGGGCTCCCAATGTGGCTTGATGCTAGGTTCTGCTAAGGGATGTGGGAGACACATATGAAGCCCCTGGCCGCAGGGCTTGAAGAATGGTTGGGGGTGCTCAGATGTGCACATGGGAAGTCGAGAACAATACTGTTAAAGATGGGAAAAATAGTGCCATATCTTTTTCCTCTGAATGTACAATGTACTATGAGCTATGGAGTAGGGGTGGAATTGAGTTCTCTGATAACATACAGAGTGAGAAAAGACTAGGCTCAGTGTCTGGAGACACAGACTCTGCTCAGGGCATTACCATTTACTTGCTGTGTGACTTTGGGCAAGTCACTTAACTTCTCTGAATGTCAGTTTCATCCCTTCTCGGCAGGGGTGGGAGCTGTTGAGAAAATCTGCCCTTCCTGCCTCACAAGGTGTTTCTGAGGATCAAATGAGACAACGTTTGAGCGCTCCAGAGGTTAGGTAAATATACAAACATGATGCACCAGTCTCATCCCCTTCCTGCTGGCTGAGCAACCCCTGTGATCTTACATCCATGAGGTCCCTGTTCTCATGCTCTTTTCTCTCCCAGATTCAGTGACAGAAGCTGAAGACACAGACTCCCAAGATACGGGGACTGGGATCAGCTCTAGTGGTTGACATGACATGGAAACTAGAGGGCTGATTCAGCCCCAGTCCAGTCTGGGACTGGGTCCTGAATGTCTGCCTTGTGCCCACTCTTGGTTTTATCTGAGGCTGTGGGAGGAGAGAAGTGGGAAGAACCTTGTCAAAACATCTTCTTCCTCCTCTGCTGTGTTCACACTCGCATCCTCCTTGGCTTTCATTCCGATTTCACTCACTGTGTACGTGGAAGAAAACTGCCTCCTCTGAGGT